TAATCAACGGCCTGGATCAAAATGGGCGAGTGGGCGGGTTATGAATTGGGCTAACATTTAAATAGCCAATTTTCCCTATTTAATTACAAAAAATAATAAATTAATTTCTGAAAATAGATTAAAGGTACCAAAATGATTTATAGCACAAAATTAACTATTTAAAAATACCAGAACTAATTTTTATGAATATAAATGTAATTAATCTTAAAAGAGGCTAATGTTGTAATTATATACAATTTAACTTTAAAAATACTAAATGACTTTGTAAAAATATGCAAAAATTATATTACCTATATTTTAGCATAAATATAAGAATCCAATAAATGAATCACCAAAATTATAATTTTGGAAATAATTATTGGGTTTTATGGATAAAATAGGCAATAAATCGATTTAAAAATCATTAAAAATTAAGAAAAAATAATAAAACATTTGGACATACTTATATATGCATACATATGATATTTCGAAAGTATTTTGCATATTAAATTATACAGGAAAAAACTGGGTATCAACAAGTTGGCGTGCTCCACTTGATCCGGAGCTGCTTTGATTTTGGTACGATACGTTTGTGTATATATATGTATATGGGTATGATGTGGCTCAGTCCCGTCTTTGTACAGTTATATCTCTATTAGAGGTCTGTAGACAGTATGTCCAGTTGGGTTGCATGTGGCCTTGTCGGCTTTCAGTTTTGGATGTATAGTTGTCTATAGCAGCCTTGTCACCTATGAAGGGTGTGATGAGGTTTGGCAAGAAAGGAAAACCTAGCCCACGATATATTGGGCCTTATAGGATCATTCGGAGAGTGGGCCAAGTAGCTTATGAGTTAGAATTGCCCTCGGAATTGGAGTCTGTCCATCCGATTTTTCACGTATCTATGCTACGAAAGTGCATTGGCAATCCTACCCGAGTGGTGCCCAAAAATGATGTACAGATTACAGAAAACTTATCATACGAGGAAGTTCCAGTTGCCATCCTAAATCGACAAATCCGTAAATTGCAAAATAAGGAGGTAGCCTCCGTGAAAGTACTTTAGAGGAACAATAATGTGGAAGAAATAACTTGGGAGGCTGAGGAAAACATAAAGTCTAGATATCCCTACTTATTTCCTCCTCCATAAAAGGTTCCGACGAAGACATCATAACCATAAGGTACATGTATAAATTCTTGTGTTGGTTATTATCGTTGGTCATGTGAGGCCATTGTCGTTATTCATAATTATGATCTGGTGTGGCGTTGGATTATTAAGGTTTTACAGGGAGAGTTGGTAGTAGTGTTGGTACAAAGGCGACGCTGCCAAAGTTATATGGATCACGGGGAGTTGAACATTCGAGGACGAATGTTTCTAAGGGGGGAAGGATGTAGAAGGATGCTACATCTCGCGTTTTCCGTACATTTAAATTTTGTTTTCAATTAACCGACGTAGACTCGGGGATGAGATCATCTTGACGTTAACATACTTACGATATTTATAACAAGCGATAAATAAGTATTATGAAGGATAAAGGGGTACACGGATTAAAGAAAACGTGTTTCGTTGAAAGTGGCCAATTTGAATAAAATACGGGTCGAGCGATAATACTCGATAATTATGAACTAGTACCACGCAAGGTACCATATGACCATGGTAGCATAATATATAAAGTATTTTAAAAATAAATAGAATTTTAAGTAATTTAGGGCAATTTTTAAATTATACGGGTAATTGATTAATTACCGAGTAACGAGATATTACCCGATTAGCTAATACATGAATAAAAATTTAATAATTTACACCCCCACGTGGCAGCCCTCTCTACCAAAAACAATGACTCTTTAGTCTACTATCCTAGGTGGCAACTTAATGTCTTGGATGGAAAACACTTTTTATAACCAAGGTGATAATCCATTAGCCTTTTTCTGATTTTGTCAATATCCACAAGACTTGGCAACTTATCTTTGTAAAAGATTCAAAACCAAAATCTGCCTTTGGCTTAAAAGCCAAGAACCATGAAAGCAGAAACGTTCCATTTCAAACAAAAGCTTCATTATGAAGCAACTTCGTCCATAAGTAAATTAAGCAAAATTTCGTTCAACAATCAAAGAAGCAGGAGCTTCATTTTTTTGCGTTCAATATTTTTCATAGAAGCAGAACTTCATTTCATTCAAATAATTCAAGGAACATGTATGTTAAGGTCTTTCCTTCTTTCTTTTGGCATGGTCCAAATTATACTGAAGAAACGAGCAAACACAAAGTTTCTATAAATTACTCTATTCATAGAAATAGTAGGGGTGTCTATATTTTTGATTCCCCATGAGAATTATTATTATTTTCTGTTCATGGGTCTCAGAATAATACGCGGTTGGAAAAGTTTATCCGGAAGAAATATTAATATTATTACGTATTTTTCATGCATTTCACCAATTTATGCATATACATTGACTCATGACCAGATGGTGTTATATACGCGTATATATATATGGGATATGGGAAATGGTTACGACATTATATACGCACCACCACCTGATCAGCTGGTATATGCTGACGATGTTGTCCACAGTGGCCGAGATGATATGATGGAATGCCCTCAGTGGCTTGATGCTATTATGTACACTTATACCTATGCATGACATGACATTTTTACACACGAGCATGACATTATAAATGTTTCAGAATTTACAAAGTTATTTAGATTTAAAGATATGTTTCCTTATTCCATGTTTCATCTATGTCTTTTACGCACTAATTTTCATAGCTTACATACTCAGTACATTTTTCGTACTAACGCCCTATTTCACAGGGCCTGCTTTTCATGTCTGCAGGTGCAGGTAGGCAAGCTGACGGTCCCCCTTCTTAGGATCCCTGATTAGCGAGAGTTGACGTGCTCCACTTGATCCGGAGCTTCTTTGATTTTGGTACAATATGTTTGTGTATATATATGTATATGGATATGACGTGGCTCAATCCCGTCTTTATACAATTATGTTTCTATTAGAGGTCTGTAGACAATATGTCTAGTTGGGTTGTATGTGACCTTGTCGACTTTCAGTTTTGGATGTATAGTTGTCTATAGCAGCCTTGCCAGTTCGCCCACTATATTCTGCATGTATTCGTATATATAGGGGTGTACATAGGTCGAGTTGGTTCGGATTTTACAATTACCAAACCAAACCAATTGTGTCGGTTTGTTAAATCTAAAGACCAAACCAAACCAATAAAACTCGGGTTTTTCACTCTCGGTTTTTCTTGGATTTTCCGATTATTCGGATTTTTTCGGGTTTTTTCCCGGTAAAATCTTCATAGAACAAAACATATAAATTGTGTTCAAAGTATTTCTTTAGCCCTAGTAAGATACAACTAAATAAAGTATTTTCCAAGAAAATAATACAAAATATGAGATATGTCATGTCATTATCCTAAAATATTCAACAATAAAGACAATAAAATTATGTAATATAAATATTGCTAGTTAAGAAGCCATAATAAAAATAAACATAATCTAAAAGTACTAAGTCATGCTAAAATAAGTAGACTAACAATGGAGTATTAATTACATAACTAAATGCTAAAGAAAAATAAAAATAGGTTATGCATTTTTATCTAAATTACTGCAAAACAAAAAATAGATATTCAATACATTCTCGTTCGTAGTATTGAATTGAATGTCTTTTATTAGCATTAGTATTGATTTGATTTTGGTTTGAGCTTTTGTTAGCACTATTTAATTTACTAATATTAATGGCTATAAAATTTATTGGAACATTCAAAAGTTCTACGTCCAACCTTGAAATAATACCTCAAAAGATAAAATTATGAAATCTTTTAAGAAATATTTATAAATTACATCACAATAAGTATATTTATATATATTAAATATATCTAAAATTTCTATATATGTAATGTCGGGTTGGTTTGATTTCGGTTTGACTTTCTTTAGTTAAAACCAAACCAAACCAATTATGGTCGGGTTTTTTTTTTCAACACCAAACCAAATCAAACCAAACCATAGTCGGATTTTTTTTCTCGATTTGACTCGAATTATAGGGTTGGTGCGTTTTGTCGGTTTCCTTTGTACACCCCTACGTACATATGCCTTGATGGCATGTTTCCTTCATGTAAGTTATTTTCGTAATGTAGCAAATGTTATCCAGATTCATATCTTAGACGCATGTTTAAGGGTGTTTGACAAATAGGACTCTGACACTCATCGCAGCCCATCGGTTTGGGTCGTGACAATTAGGGCTGTGCACAGATCGGATTGGATCGGATTTAGCCTATTTCGGATTCAAATTTCGGATTTCGGATTCTGAAAAGGGCAATCCGAATCCGATCCAAATTAACATTGGATTGGATCGGATTTTAAACTTTGGATCGAATAATTTTTCGGATTGTCACAAAAATTTTCAACAATTTAAAGTTCATTCGGTGTCTCTATCTCATCTTCCATCTACCAAAACAAACAAAAAAATCAAAATAAAATCAAAAGTTGAAAAATAGAACATGAAATAGACATAAAAGACAGAAGAGAAGAGAAGAGATGCTGAAGAAAGAGACATAAAATCAAAGAAAAGTCGGAAGTTTGAGTCATTGAGACTCTTTTAGTCTTCACTGACGAGAAAAGAGGTGCAAGAGAGGCGGAAAAATCTAAGTGAGTGAGGGGGTGTGTGAAAAATGAATAAGCATAACCCTAAAATTTTAGTGTGTATTTATATAGGTACATATAATTTCGGATATCAGATCGGATCGGATTAAAATCATACCAATCCGAATCCAATCGAAAATCCGAAATTTCATAAAACACAATCCGTATCCAATCCGAAAATCCGAAATTTGAAATTCGAAAATCCGAAATAGAGTGGATCGGATCGGATTTCGGATATCCGATCCAAATGCACAGCCCTAGTGACAATACCACATGTGTAATTCCACTCAGGCTGACTTCTTTTTTAATATTGTCTAAGAGGCTGACTTCTTTTTCACTCATAGAATTGAATCTCACAATGCGTTTGCCTTTCCAACTAAAAGCATACGGATTGCATGTGCAAATTACATCTGATACGGAGGATATTGCATATGAAATATAATCGAAAAATATGCCACATGTGTAATGCCACTCAGAGGCTGACTTCTTTTTCATTCATAGAATCGAATCTGACCATGAGTCTGCCTTTCCAAGCTCTGCATTATGGGCTCATAGTAAAAGAAATATAAAATTCTCGCAATACATATTAAATGACATCTGAACCATATTGTCGGGAGCTCGTCTCCACTAAAAGCTTTCTTCAAGATCATGCTCATGAGCCCTCACCATATGAAACCTCTGAAACACGCTGAAGAATGCACTGTACTGAGATTCATATAAAGTTAGAAGTATTACTTAGCTATATTAAAATTGATGTACAATAGTCTTGAAATGGCATAATAACTCCAAGGATGGAGAAATTACTAACCTTGCATCTATAGTAGCAACGTTCAGCTCCATATCCTTTGTATTTTCTTTATCTTACACAATCTACGAACCAAAATAACAACTGTAAAGAAGATCCAAACAGGACTAACCATGAAAACATAAAACTTAAAAAATCCTTCCACCATACTACCGCCTGCCTTCTTTTGCTCCCATACTTTTCTTGTTTCTACTTAAATAACTTCATCCCTCTTCTCACATTCAGCAATTCATGCTTTTCTTGTTTCTACTTAGATAACTGCATCCCTCATCTCACATTCAACAATTTATGCTTTTCTTGTTTCTACTTAAATAACTTCATCCCTCTTCTCACATTCAGCAATTCATGCTTTTCTTGTTTCTACTTAGATAACTGCATCCCTCATCTCACATTCAACAATTTATGCTTTTCTTGTTTCTACTTAAATAACTTCATCCCTCTTCTCACATTCAGCAATTCATGCTTTTCTTGTTTCTACTTAGATAACTGCATCCCTCATCTCACATTCAACAATTTATGCTTTTCTTGTTTCTACTTAAATAACTTCATCCCTCTTCTCACATTCAGCAATTCATGCTTTTCTTGTTTCTACTTAGATAACTGCATCCCTCATCTCACATTCAACAATTTATGCTTTTCTTGTTTCTACTTAAATAACTTCATCCCTCTTCTCACATTCAGCAATTCATGCTTTTCTTGTTTCTACTTAGATAACTGCATCCCTCATCTCACATTCAACAATTTATGCTTTTCTTGTTTCTACTTAAATAACTTCATCCCTCTTCTCACATTCAGCAATTCACGCTTTTCTTGTTTCTACTTAGATAACTGCATCCCTCTTCTCACATTCACCAATTCTATTTTCCTGCTTTTTTCCTACAAAATTAGACCAATACTCTTCCAAGACTTCCCCCTTTACACTTTCTATTTCTTTAACTTCTCCAAAGCTCACATGTAATTTTAGGTTTTCCATCTTAAACCTAATTGTTGCCTTTTTCCCTTGTTATTTATCACATCAAACGCCTTCTCGACTTCACTATCAACAATTCAGAATATAAAAATACATGAAAAACCAACCAAACAGAAGGGGAGATTTACCTCTAGCGAGCAGTAGTGCTAAAGTTTCAGCAATGGTACATACTTACTAACCTTTATCCTACTCAAACTTTTTCACTTTTATTAGATCTAGCTAGTTGAACTCAAAAAATTAGACAAAATAAATGTTCTATATCATAAACAAACCGATCCATCCCTGAAGACTACTACTTATCAAAGGACTACTACTTGGGCAAGATAAAAGCAAAACATGCCCATATCATTCCATCGCTTGTATACACTGAGTTGGATACTCGATATCATGTCTTACTGAAATAATAGATTCATACCAAAGTGGCATACCTATAATATGTGAATAAATTTAAGAAATAATTAACATACACAATTTTGAATATGAAGCAGTCTTGAAGGTTCAAAAAAAACAACCAGATAGGATACCATCAGATATATGCCAAGAAGGTTCTATACACCACCATTATCTTAAAAAAAAGGTTCTACCTACCACGACAACAAATATTACAATGGAAATAAAAATAAATTCTAGTAAATTAGAGTGATAGTACAGATGTTTACCTCAAAAATAGGCTATCTTTAGTATGTGAATAAAAAGGCAGCCCGGTGCATTATACGCGGGGTTCAGGAAAGGGCCGGAACACAAAGTGTCTTCAATATGTGAATGAACTTCACAAATATGTGGGGCAACACTGCAGGTGTTAAAACCAAAAGATCTGAACCACCTCCTTTAGGCATATTTTATTAGCGGGATGGACATCATCTTTGTTTATATACAAAAAAGACATTGTTTACCAGAAAAGAATGCTTACTTGTCGAAGTCGCTGGTCTGATAAGCCTTCTCCATTTCCCTGCCTAATTCCGTCAAACGTCAGAACCAATCTCACTCAATTGAATAAGGTAAATTAAAACCTTGTTAAAGTCTGGCCTTTCTGCAATATTTTAGGTAATCTCTTTCAGGTAGTAATATAGGCAACATTTGTTATCTATACATCATTTCGTTTCACCTACTTCCTGCGCTTCTTCTCTTTTTCGCTTTTCTAAGGCCATACCTATGGCTGCACCATTCAAGGAAATAAGAGACAAAGAGGGAAAACAAAAACTTAGATAAAGATCAGAAGGTGAAAATTCGAACACGCACACACATGAATTATGGGTCGATGTAATCATGAAAAGAATGGTTCAATGAGATATCTTTGGACTCAAATAGAGAAGATGATTGACCCTGTGACGGAGTTTTCGGGGCCAAAGGTTGGTTTAGAGAAAGCTTTCGTTTGGGAGAATTTAAACGAAAAGAGGAAAGGGTTTTAAATTAAACATTGAAAAACTAAAAGGAAATTGAGGAAGAAAATTCTTCAGATAACATAAAAAAGCGCAGAGGAAATAAATTAGGGTATTACCTGCTGAAGTTGTTTTTCATAAGTGGAGAGATTCGAAGCGAATTGTTCAACTCCAACTTCATCTCCTCCGCTTTGCATTTTGTAAAATCAAACTACTTAAGATCCCAACAAAACTACCCAAATATTTCTGGATTTTCGATGACGAATTCGAGTTCCAGGTGTGCGTCGGAGAAAGAGAGTAGAAGAAATTGTCGAAGAATGTGACTTTTCTATATAGGAAGCTACTGTTCAATAGGAAAAATAACTTCTGGGTATTTCTTTTAAATTAGTACAGTTGTGAGCACGTGATTTTTGTCTTACGCGACAATCGCTCCAAAAGAAATAAAAAATAATAAC